GTCTTCTCCAACCTGAATGATTCTGTGAGTCTATGAAATCCTGGAGCTCCCATCCTTCCTCCACAATGGGCTGAGCTGTTGGGCACCATGTTGGGACAGCGCTCTGCGGGCCACCGAAATTTGGAAGGGGTGAGCGAACTCTCATAAGGGACAGGGAGTGTGTCTGGAAGCGCTGGTGGCAGGTCAGCTTCTGCGGGAGTGTGTCATGGCACACTCCTAGGTTAAGTTCTTCACTATGAGGCTGGTGAAACAGGTTGCCCAGAGAGGTGGTAGAAGCTCCACCTGTGGCGACATTCAAGGTCAGGCTTGATGGGGCTCTGAGCAAACCTGATCTAATTGCAGATGTCCCTGCTCACTGCAGGAGGGTTGGACTAGATGACCTTTAAAGGATGCTTCCAATCCAACGCATTCTAGGCTAGTCTAGTCTAGTCTAGTCTAATCTAGTCTATCCTGCTCCACAGCTCAACCTCGGGGTGCAGGGAGTGAGGTGGGACAGTACTTCAGGCTTTGCTGTATTATTTTCTTTGCTCTGGTATGTTTAAAAAAGGAAAAAAAGTTACTGCACTGCGAGAACTGCTAAAAGGGCTCCATCACTTCCATAAACCTCACACGTATAAATTATTGTCTTCTATTAGTCACTTAAAAGGCTGGGTTGCTTAATTATTTTCATCACAGTAATCACTTATTTACAAGGTGGGGAAGAGTGCCAAGCACTTCCCAGCTGAGCAGCAAGGCAGCTCTGGGGCAGAGGAGGCAGGGCTGCAGAAGCCTGTTGCCTTCCTCCGCACAAATGTAAAAGTTTTTAATTCCCTTCGTTGCACTGGCGATGGTGCTTGGCCCCTGCACACCCTGGGCTGCTCTCTCTGCTCCGACAGGGGTGAAGGGACCTGAGCTGCTCAGATGATGGGAGCTGCAGGGAACTGGTTCGTCATGGAGCAAGGACTGGGGGGCATTTGGAAAATGGGCTGCGGCTGAGTCGAAACAGGGAGTGGGGACCCAGGGCTAGGACTGTAAGTAGGGAAAAGTGAAAGGAAAATAATGGAGTTTCAGGTCCCTCCTGAGAGAAGATGCTCTGGTCCGCAGCCTTTGGTACTCACGCAGGAAAGAGCTTCAGCTTATTGTATTTTGGAGGGAGGGTCTGGTAGAAGTGGGGTGCATCCCACTGAAACCTCCTCCCAGCATCCTGCTGCTGCTTGCAACTTCGAGAAGGTGGTTGAGTGTTTTGTTTTTTGTGGGTTTTTTTGCCTAAAAGCTTATCTGCCTTCTAATCCTGTCAGCCCAAGAACAAGTTATTATCTCCTCTTACAAGCCTCGCCTTCCAGTTTTCCCGCTGCATCTCCCACATGTTTCTGCTCAGGAATCTGCCGCGCCTCCCCTCCTTCCCAGCGAAAAGACATGCTGGGCTGAGCTCGCCTCCAGAAGAGCCCCTTTAATTCCATTAAAGGCCATTACAAGCTCCCTCTCCCCGTGGCTCCCGGAGGAGCGCGGGGCAGCATCTATCGGAGACCGCAAGAAAACAAATGGCCACTTTGAACAAATCCCGGGGCCGCTTGCCAAGCGGGGATTCCCGGCTATTTACAAACCGCCCTCACTTCCTAATAAAGAGGTGAAGTGCAAGCAGAGAAAACGTTCATTTTGTAACTGCCCGGATTTAGGCCTTCAAAGGATTTGTTACGACCTTTTTATTTTCACGCGTGGAGAATGTCGTCTTATCTGGCTGGCCCAGCTCAAGTCGCTGAATGGGTTTTACGGCAGAAAGCTACCGAACGGCAACCTTCAGGGGCACGCCATGCCGGGGTGTTAAAGTTGCTCGAGTGCATTAAAGCAGTTGAAACGTGCATTAAAATATGGCCCTGGGAGAGGAGGATATCTGCGCAATTAGCAATCTGATGCTTGCAGCAGCTGCTTGCAACGTCGATCCGATGTCTCAAGTCGCTGAATGGGTTTTACGGCAGAAAGCTACCGAACGGCAACCTTCAGGGGCACGCCATGCCGGGGTGTTAAAGTTGCTCGAGTGCATTAAAGCAGTTGAAACGTGCATTAAAATATGGCCCTGGGAGAGGAGGATATCTGCGCAATTAGCAATCTGATGCTTGCAGCAGCTGCTTGCAACGTCGATCCGATGTATAGACGACGGGTGCCGCTGA